CAATCTACTTCCATAGTGATGTTGTTGTTGTTGTTATGTGCCGTCAAGTCGGCCCCGACTCATAGCGACCCCTCCTTGGGTTTCCGAGGCAGTATCACTATGGAAGTAGGATTGCCCAACTTTCCTTCCGAGGAGTGGCTGGTGGGTACTGCCTCAGAAACCCTAGGAGGGGTCGCTATGAGTTGGATCCAACTTGACGGCACACAACAACAACACCTATATGGCTATATAAACTTCAATTACTTAAAATTAATAAAACCAAAAGTGTAATTCCTCATCCTACTCACATTTCAGATGTCCAACAGCCACGGGTATCTTTGCTGTTGATGTTGCATTGGCTCTGAGTCTTGGTGACCCCGTGTGCAACCCAAGGAAGCCTTGGCCAGTCCTGCACCATCTTCTTGCTGGTCGGCTTGAGTCCGCAGCTGCGGCCACTATGAGTGTCCAACCTAGGGAGCTCATGCACTTCCACTGTCACGTCATACGATATTCTGTGGTTGGAAGCCCACAGGGTTTTCATGGACTCGTTAGCACAGGACAGTGAGCACCCTTTCTTCCTAGCCTGTTTGAGTCTGACGCGCTATGGAAACTTGTCCACCAAAGGGGCTCCCTGGTTGTATATTGTATACTGGTGGCATAGCTCACAGCATCACAGCAACACACAAGTCACCCCACTATGGTGAGTGCACAGATGTGTAGCCAACAGCTGCCACACTGGCAAGCACAGACGCAGGCCATCTTTGTCACCAGAGAGTTCTGTTGAAAGAATTCTTCTGTTTAACGTTTAAAATGCTCAAATGTGATAAATATTATTTGAAATTGTGTGTTCCTGCTCCTCTGATGTTTTATCGTACAGAAAGTTCTGTAAGTTAGGTAAAAAATACGTTAAATCTTCCTCCCCTATTAGACAAAGAAAACTATCAAAAAAATTACACTCTTGACTCTCTGTGGCAGCATCTTCAGAGGCCAATGGGAAGTTTTCATGAGAAGCAGAATGATTTTTCTTATGTGTCCACATATCTCTTTGACACAACTGTCTCCAAGCCATGAGCCCATTAACTAAAACACATTAATAAAAAAGAAAAAGAAAAAGGACACTGTTCAAACTGTGTGGTTTTCTCAAAAAGCCAAAAATATGGACGTCCATTTTTTTTTTTTTTTTTGTTATAAAGGCTATTGTCAATATTTTGCAAATATTGTTTATGCTGCTAGCAAATTTGGGGGCCATGAGGTGAGAATGAAAGAACAGATGAGACTTGACTAATGGTGATTTAATCAGGCCAAGTGGGAGAGGAGAACCCAGGATGGCGGTACGATTATACGGCGAAGGCGTGGGTGAGATCTCCTCTACCTTCATCCTTGACAGAGGCCCCGAACAAACACTGTGATCTTAATACTTTGCAGAGTAAAGGTCCTTCAGAATGGAATGAACATAGTGTACTTGGTGAATAGTTACATTAGTAAACCGACCTTCCTAACACTTGGTCATGTGAGCTTGTTTCTGGTTTGGGGTGATGGGCAGAACCTGATTGTCAGTGGATTTTCAGGCACCTTACCTCTGAAGTTGGGGTCATAAACTGCCAGTTGGACTAACTGTAGATTAGGCCCTACTGAATAGGTTTATCTTTACCGTTTCACCGGAAGCTTCATGGAAGGAAAGTTCTCGGTCTCTGACAGTGGAGGACACGCCAGTCTTTCTTCCTCTTCTCTTGTCGAGGCACGAAGGCCGGCAGAGTCCACCAGCAGGGGAACTTGTTTAACTTGGCTTACTTCAGCATCCCCTAAGAGCCCCTGGTTGTTCACCTGGGCACTTTTGAATAGCTTGCAAACTGTTGGTTGGCATGTGCTGTAAAGTACCCTTAAAGTTTAATTCATTAGCCTCTGAATAAAACAACTGAAATAATAAACTGCTTAGAAAGTGGGATGGTTTTGTAGGCAAAAGTCTTTATTTTTAGAATATTCAAGGATGTAAGAGGTGACATGTTGTGATGTCTTTAACTGATTACAAATGATTCGGCCAAAAACCAAATCCATGTGTGGGTGTATATGTATACATGTAAGTGGACACATGCACACACTCACGTGGCAGAGCGTGCTCACATGGGGCAGAATGTTAGCAGGTGGTGAACCAGTGATGGGTTTGGGTGTATAAATTTGGAACTGTTGCTCTAGGTGTGAAAACTTAATAGATAAAAGGGAGGGAATTTATCAACACAAACACAGGCTGTTGAGATTATTGGGGTAGTGAAGAGCTGCCATGTGGGATGTCAATTAATAGAGAAAAAGGATTTTAAGATCCAAGAAGAAGTGAAAGGAGATTCATGTTACTGATTAGGGGCAATTGTCAGAGGGGACCATTCCCTGGAGAAGGACATCATGTTTGGTAAAGTGGAGGGTCAGTGAAAAAGGGGAAGACCTCAACGAGATGGACTGACACAGTGGCCACAGTGATGGGCTCGGGCACAGCAGGGATTGTGAGGCTGGCACGGGACAGGGCAGCGTTTCGTTCTGTGGTCCATGGGGCCACTGTGAGTCAGAGCCAACTCGACGGCACCTCACAACAACAACACACACCTAGAGGAAGACTCTCTGTCCAGTCCTTAGACTTGCCTTGCAATTCTGGTAGGAGTTACGACTTCCCATTTGGGAGTCCCTCCTTTTGTTCTCAGACGAGTGAGAACACTGCCCAGAAGACATCAGAGCGTCCTGATCTGAGCCCTGGCCGTTGAACACAGACCTCAGCAGAGCACAGTCAAGCTTGCAAACTTGAAATGGGGATTTGTAGCCAAATAGATAGGGCAGCCCCCCCCCCCCAACAGTGGGACCTTTTTCTCGTAGCCTGTGCTGCTTGCCTGAGTGGAGTCAACAGACTGAAATTTGCCGTTGTCAGGATTGGCCTGATCTGATTTTCCGTAGACTGGCTATTAATCCCCAGCTTGCAGCTGGCTCTGGGAAGCAAAGTGTGGTAGATTGCCTGTCATGTCTTCGGCTGCTGGGGCACACATGCAGTCTGAATAACTTCTCAAGGACTTGGGGAAAGGTTGTATCATGCCGCAGTGGACGGAACTCCTGGACTTCCAATTCTGCCTTGAAATATCATTAGCTGAAACAATATTGCAAACATTTCTGTTGCCCTAGGGAGAGAGAAGAGTCTTTTAGTTTGCTGCAATTTCTGAGATGCTTTTAATAGTGTAAAATTGTTACTAATACACTCTTTCCACAATACTCATGTCATTGAAACTCTGACTTCCCCTTGGAGAGCTGTTCTTTCTCCCATTCCTTGTCTTTCTCCTTTTTTTATTGTTTAACCTTTACAGTAGGTTATAAAAATTGTGAAATTGGATTTGTTCATCTTGCTGATAAAGGTTTTAACGGTAATGGCTCCTACCTCCTCCACTAAGCTCTTCTTCGTACATATTAAAATTGTTACACTTGTGATCTTCTGATATTCTGTCCGTTATTACATTATAAATATTTATAGAACATTAATACATGGCTCTATCTACTGTGTTATGATATGCATAAAACTTTAAGGATATATTTTATGTAATTATATTTGCTAATAACAATGTATTTATAGACTTGAATATCTTGCACAGTAAGGCACTAAAGCTACAAAGAAATGTCAGGAAATCATAATTTCTCATCAATAAAAACATATATTTATATTTTATCTCCTTGTTGATCCTGAAAGCTTAATATTAATCTTGGTAGAGTAATGTTTATGAAACGTATTGCCAATTCATGATGCAATTATAAAATGTGGTATCTTTTTTGTGCTTGGCATTTTACAAAGTGTTGTCACCTAAAACATCAGGAAGGACGAAGACTGAACAAATGACAGCTCAGTATGTGTATCGAGGCTCTTTCTGTAAATTCATGGAACAAATGCAACTGTGTTATGCTTCATCTCCTTTGGTTTTTTCCATTATTTTGGTGCTAATTGCTTTCAGTTGACCCTGCACATTTGAGAGGCTGAAAAGTTTTTATACACACTGATCAAAAATACTTCCTATTTGTTATTTTCAGTTGTGTTGATGATAACAGTAAACTTTCAGAATAAATTTTATGCCAGGACCTTTCATGTTACCTACACCCAGCAATGGTAAGGTAGGAATGAAAAGAACTATTGAGTAATTTTAGAAATTTAGAAATTTGGGAAAGGGGTTATTTTACCATCAAATGTCTCCAAAGGGTTGGTTCTATGCAGACAGGGGGTGTGAAGGCACTCAGGAGGATTGCCCTAGTTTGTAGACTGTTGACTGTACTGTGACATTCAGAGACGTGATCAGCAAGGCACAATTATTGGATTTATTTTTTCCATTCAGCTTTTGCCCTTGACATGGTGTGTATTATTTGAATGGCCCTTGTCTGGTTAGGGAGAACAGGCATGGCATACAAAGTGCCCATAGCTGCTTAGAGCCGAGGTTGGTTAAGCTCCTCAGGGCTCTTGTCTCCCTTGCGAGGTACACCTGTGACAGTGTGCTGGAAGGTCTTCATGGAAACCCAGCACTCTGTGTTTGACATCATCCCTATCACAAGAAATGGGCTGGCTTGTCACTCTGGATAACCTTTCAAGAACAAAAACCTGCAGTGTTCCAAAACTGTACGGAAACATAAAATCATATTCAGGGGCAGTGGCCACTCAATGTCCATTTGGCTCAAAATTTCCTGTCCTCTGAGAACTTCCCCAGCAAACAGTGCATTGAATTCTACTAGGCTGCAAATGCACTTGGCCTGCTGGCAGGGGGCTTGGCACGGACGGCTTACTTTGCTGAGTAAGTCATAGGGCTGTTGGCAAGAACAGGAGATTATTTCTGCTCTTTTGAGCATAAAACTAGGTTTTCTAAATTATTGTATCCTCATTGGAATATTTATTCTACTAATGTTCCAACATATGCCTGGGGGTGGTTTGAACATTTCTTCCACCAAGTTCTGTGGAGTTGCCTGTCTTAAATTGGACACCACGTTGACTGGACATTTCCTCTGCTCTCTCCCAGCAGGTAGACCAAGTTACAACAGCTTTTATGTGTATTGCAAAGGCCCCTGTCAAGCAGTGCAGCCAGGCAAACTCCGGGTCCAGTGCGGCGGCTGCAAGCAAGCAACACTCACGTTGGCCCAGGTAAGGGTTGCGACGTTGGCATGAGACTCTGCCCTGAAGGAGTGCGATCTCTGCCTTTTCGTGCTTCTCACAAGATACCACACATCACTGGAAATGATGAAATACAATCCTTCTGTGGGACCATGCTAGTTGATGACATTTGAAACTTTCCAAAGACAGCTCTGACTTGTTGATTTCTTTCAGCTCTGTTCAAGTTTAGGTAACCCAGGAATACTCATCCCATCTCTTTAATCCAGACCTATTGAAAAAGAGTATAGATACTGCTTTAATGACCAAGTGCTTGATCTTGGATGAAAGTATTTACTGTGTGGGACAGGAAGAAGCCTTCCAGAATACTGGAAATAGGGGTGGTGGCCTATTTTATATATTTATGTCTAAGCTCTTTGGACTGTTCACTTAAGATTGACACACTTAAGGTTGCTAAATATAAGTGATGCTTGAATAGATAAGAGTGGAAAAGAAAGCTGGGGACCAACAGGCAGCATGGATCAAACTCCAGCCCGTGGGCCAAACGTTGCCTGCTCCCTGTTTTCATAACGTCTGTGAGCTGAGGGCAGTTTTTACACTTTTAAAAGGTTGAGGGATAAAAATATGAAAAAGAATATTGCATGCATGAAAAGTATATGCAATTGAAATTTCAGTGTCTGTGAATATAGCTTCATCAGGACACAGCCATACTCATTTGTCTACAAACTGTCTCTGGCCACTTCTATGCTATGAGGGCAAAAGTGTGCAGACTATGGAGACAAGTTGCAACACAGATCACACGGCTTGCAAAGCCTGAGAGACTTGCTGCTGCCCATTTGGAGGAAAAGTTGCCAACCTTGGTTTAAAACAGAAGAAACATTGGTTCATAGTTTCAGTGTGGCAGTTGGGTGGGATTTGGCTAGATTCAACTGAGATGAAAATGTGAACAGGATACAGAGGACGTCTGGCCAGGGTTGGTTGGTGGGAGCTCAGTCAAGGAGCTGTAAAAGGACGTGATATATAGGTCGGCCCTGTCTTGTGACATATCCAGTTGGGACACACTGCAGTTACAGCTGTCTGTTGTTTAGTTTTGGACTTTTTTGTACATCTTATCCTTAGTAATATGTATACATACAGTGCTGCAGTATGTGAATTGCTATATTCTTTCTCAGATGCTCACTCAAAGACATTCAAAGATCAGATTTATAAAGGTTCTGATAATAAAGGCAATATAAATGAAAATAAAAAGAGGCATTGAACTTCCATCAGAACCGGCTTATGATGGGATGGAGTCGTCAGAATGAAACCCTATTGTAAGTTGGGTGCTCCCTGACGTTCTTGAAGGTAGCCAGCGGCTGGTGTGTAGATAATACTCCAGTGACAAGATAGGAACCCCAGAGCACTTATATTTCATTCTGCAGGTAACAGGGAGCCAAGGCAAAGCCCTAAGAACAATGGTGAAGTATAAACCTGTTAGTGCTCTGACACCATGTGCCTAGGTGTGAAGTTGAGCCCAGATGAAAGTCAAAGAGAGTGATTTAGAACCTGTCATATGACTCACAGGTAAGGAGCTGATGGCCTGGGTCGGGGTGCTGACCCTACAGAATGGAAATCCTGAGGTATTGTGAAGGCATCGAGAAGGAAAGACCAAGGATTCGTTGCTTCAGACACGAAAATATATTATCATTTAATACATTTCTTCTGCATAAGAAAGTCTATTTACGAATCCAAATCAGTGAAGTCTAGGTTTGTCTTAGCCAACTGGTTGACCCCGTCTATGGAGGAGTCATTGGGCATTGGTTCTGTCTGGCAAACATGCTGTCCTGTTTTTCTTCAACTGGCTCCTCCTGTTTGCTCCTAGCCTGCCCTGATACAATACACAGGCCCTTTTATTCTTCTTGCCTGTACTTGAGCCATTGTTGCTCCAGATGAGTACAAACAAGACCTATTTCTACTAACTCCCTGATATTGTCAATAAAAATAGCAATAACCGATTATTACTGAATGCCAAGCTAAACTCCTTTCATGCATTATCTCATTTGATTATTTTATGATTGTTTAGTAACAACAATCCAAGTTAAGTACGATTAGTATCCCTATTTTATGTTTGAGAAAAATTAGGTTTAAAGATATTTTAAAATTTCCCCAGGGAAATAAAAGTATATAAATAGTGGACTTTTATGTTGTTGTTGTTAATAGCGGACTTTATTTATGGTGCTGGCAAAGAATATTGAGTGTACCGTGGACCCGAGGAATGAACAAATCCATCCTGGAAAAAGTACAGGCAGAATGCTCCTTGGAAATGAGAATGCCCAGATCTCTTCTCTCATACTTTGGTCATGTTACCAGGAGGAACCACTCCCTGCAGAAGGAACTCATTCTTGGTTAAAGTAGTGGGTCAGCGAAAAAGGGACAGACAGACCCTCAGTGAGTTGGCTTGACACTATAGTTGTGACAATAGGCTCTAGCAGAGCAATGACTGTGAGGATGCTTGTGTTTTATTCTGTTGTCCATAGGGTCACTATGAGTAAAAATGGGCTCTAAGCACCTAACAACACCAACAACAAATACTCCACTTGGGATTTGAACTCGGACTTTCTGGTCTAAACTTCTGAGTGTCACAGTCTCCCCTTTGTGCTCCACAGTTATATTTACAGTAAGGGTCACCTATTTAGATATCTGTGGCAGGCAGGCAGGTGATAGGAATGCTGTCAGATGTGAGTGTTGGGGGTGGCAGGAACTGTGGTGGCTGGAGAGGTCATAACCACATAAGGAGGTGGCTGCTTTTCAGCCCTGTTGGCTGTTGGCTGGGAGTGATGTGGGGGTTCAATGGGGCACATCACTTTTTTTTTTTTTTTCAATCAAGAGAAATCACCAGTCTGGAACTGTATGTGAAATTTCTCACTTCAAAATATGCTCAGTGGGGGGGAAATAGAACACAAAAGGAAAAATTAACCTACAACATCTGTCTAAATGTACCCAACCAAAGTAGAATTTTGTAGCGTTTCAAGGCTTCATGGAAATGATGTGCTTGGTGGCCACACATGCTGCAGGCACTCATGAGAAGTGAGTGGGGAGGCTGTGTGCTGTGGGTTTGAGAGGACGGCTCTGGGGTCAGACTGCCCAGTGTGATTCCTGAACTCATTACTCATACCTCGGTTACCTTGAGACACCTGAGAAATGGGCTGATAATACCTATTTTGTAGTTGTTATAAAGGGTAATTAGTATGTGAAGGGTGCTTAGTGCTTAGATCCTGGGCCATGAATACTTACAAATGTCAAGCTTTTGTCTCTATCATCTTTATTTATAGAATATCCTTTATGGTAAAATCAATCCAGGCTTCAACTCTTTGTAGAGCAGTGGAAACACCACCCCCACCCCTCTGTCCACCAAGAGACTGCTACTATTTCCAAGTCAAAGCAAAGTTGGGTGATGAAGTGAAGTCACCTGTTATCCTGGACCAGAGCTCCCAAACGGGCAGAGCCATTGTTGCTCAGCTCTGTCCATCTCAGATGCTGCCCCCACGGCCACTGGGACTTTGTTGGTTCCCAGAACTGCTCCACCTTCGATGCTCTCCATTCAGACGGTTGCCCCCGCCACCTGTGTGTGTTCTGCGTATCTCTGACCCCTCTCTTAAGTGCTTCCTGAGCCATCCCATTGCTCTGCTCGCTCTTCCCTCCCGAACGAGCCAAAGCTTCAACTGCATCGCCACAAGCGTCATTCACCTCCTTGTTGTACGTTCTGTGCCTCTGCCCATTGACTTGTCTCTCTTCCCATAGTCTGTCGGCAAGCCTCTCAAAAGCTGGTGACTTATCAGTTTGGGTCTCTGGTTTATTTTCAACACTTAACGCCCTGCCTGGCAGATAGTAGTGCACACAGCTTACAGTGTTGAAGGAATGATGTCTACATTTGAACTCTCACACACTGACGCCATCCATTCATGTCCTTGAGAAATTCTGCCGGGCATTTTATAATCATATGAATCATAATACTTAGGACTGTTTTTGTACAGTTCTTTGAATTCCTTCCTTACCTTGATATTCTTATATCTACCTTTTTTTCTCTAATTCTCATGCCAGACCTGCAAAGTAGATATGATTATCTAGTGTTTCTAACAAAAGAGCCCATGAGGTGAAGCCTGACTCTAAAGTCGCATGGTTTCTAGATGGTGGAAGCAGGAGGGAAAATCTTAGCATTTCTCGCAAGCCCTCACATTCTCCAGCATGTATTGCTGTTGTACAAATTGGGAGATCAATGGCCTCTGATCTACCTACTTCCTTTGTACTGAGACGATCATTCAAATACTCTTCCTGTTAGGGTGGGGAGAACAGGCTCAAGGATTTAGGGAAAATGGGATCAAAGCAGATTTAAAGATAACTGGTTGCATCCAGACTTGTAGTCCAGTTCCTGGACTTAGCACTGCAGCAAGTAGCCGATGGCAAGAGCTGACATTTTGATTTGTGGTTGGTCACAACAAAGGCACACCCAGTGGGACCTAGGAATCCCCCCTGAGGAGTGGTGGACCTGCCCACACTGTGCAACCTCTGCCGGGGAGGGCTCCGTCATGCTGGGCCAGGGCTGAGGTCAGTCAAGAAGAAACAATGTCAATGTGAAATCTAAGACAACCCTTGGGTTTCATTTTCAAGAACTTTATAAAGATCTACAACTTACCCAACTTTCTCTGGTCAGGAAAAAATAACGAGAGAGCGAGAGAGAAAAAGAGACAGGACCTTGTGGGGTTGAGCAGTTGCAAGCAGAGCGGTGTGGGCTAGCTGGCTGCTGCCAGAAGCTTTCATAAGCAAGGAGGAGAGTTCAAGCTCACTCAACCACCTGCACTGTTTCTGGCTCTGTGATTTCATTTGTCTTTGCTGCAGATAGCAGTCTGCAACAAGCTCCGTGTGTTTCTCAAGTCTTCCTAGCCTGCTCAGTGTTTGTGCCAGGGCTTCATAATGCCAATCCTTCCTCAACTTTATGTGAAATTTGCATGTGGCAATCGTGCCCTGCATCTCACACATGCATATTTAATATGATG